TAATGCCCATCAGCGTTTTTTAGCCGCGTGTCTGTGCCATTGTGCTTTCCCGCGCTCCGTTTGTTTGTTCACGCAGCACAATCTCCCCGGCAAAAAAAAATAACACGACAAAGTTTTAAAGCCGTCGCAGTGACATTTAAATATATATTACGTGAGATTAAACAGATCTGATTTTGGATGCAATTCAAGGTAAAGAATTACAATATTAATTGATGATGTGATTTTCCGATACATTTCCCGTTCAGCTCCAGTTGTTTGACGAGAGGGGAATGCATAATTAACTTGCGCACGCTACATCATTGTGTGAGAAGGAAGAGATCAGAAGCAAGTCGGAGTAAAAAAATTCAAATGAACGCCGATCATGTGAGCGCTAGTGCAGCATACCGAGCACCGTTCTGAAACTTTCATAAGAATCGCCCAATTGGCAGCCTTTCTGAGACTCCCCCCCTCCCTACTGGCTGTGATTCAGTGATGTTTAGTTCGTTATGGGGAAACATCGTGCGTAGCATTAATTTGTCTCATGCTGTTCGTGGCAATGTAGAAGCAGTTGTGGAAATGTAAACATTGTTAAAGTTCTCAACGCTCATTCTCTACCCCGCTGTAAAAAAAAAAAGTATCCGTCGGTCGTCTGTGTGTCCAGGATGGCAAATTAGCATGTTGTATAAAGGGCTCAATGATATAACAACAACATGATTAACTATAATTGATGCAATTGTATGGCCTTTTGTCAATCCTCTGCTGGACGAAAGCCTCTCTAAGCCGTATTTGTAAGTGCAGGTTGGTGAAGGAGAGGAGAGTCCATGAACGGTTGACACGTGACTTGTCACTGCCGATAACCGTGGCTGGGAATCAAACTCAGGTCATCGGGTTCATGGTGAGGAGCGCTAAATAATATGACACCATTCCACCCTGGATTTATATATTTTTAAATATAATGAAAACAAACATTTGATTCTTTATACATTAATCATAAGCAGAGTTATTTTTCTATGTCATTGCCACAGTTTAATAAAGGACCTAAAGTCACAAAATGCTAAAACAGAGAATTCCAGCCTCTATAACCAGTTTAGTTTTAGCGTAGTTGTCGGTACAGCCATATATATTTTTTTGGAAAGTTGTGCATGTTGACCCCCTGCCTGCCTGGCTTTGAATTGTGAGTCGAAATCTACGTAGCTGGAGCGGCGCAGTAAATATACCCCCACGGAATCCAAAGTGCTGATCGAGCGTGGAAAACCCAACAAATTTCGCGCCCTCGTTGCTGGTTTGTGTCCGAACGACAGCTGCGTTAATCCACGGCGATGGCACCAAGCGGTCTGGGAGGTGAGGGGTAACGGAACGCTAGCATCACGCTTGCTTTGCTTAAGCGCAGTGTGCCTATCGATCTAAATAGGGCCGCGGACGTCTATAGTGGTGAGTTTGAAAGGCCTTCGGAGGGTTAGAGTGGCAAATTAAATAAAATAAACCGCAGGAAAGGTGAAAGCTTTAGAGGATTTACTTTGCGATTCGCGCGTTCAACATTCACCACCTGGCTTTGTGAATTTGGCTTGCGTCGTGGTGACAATATTTACGGCGGCTTGAGCAGGTGCTCTTGTCTTCCAGCGGTGGATAGATCCTAGCTGATGGTCAGGGGCGGAGCCACAGGGGGGGCTGGGGGGGGCTCAGCCCCCCCTGAAATTTTGGGAAAGTCGGTAATCGGGATAACCGGATATCCGGCTGCTGCAAAATGCTGCAGGCTGCCACCTTGTGCTGCCCTGCAGGCTGCCACCTTGTGTGCTGCTCTGCAGGCTGCCACCTTGTGCTGCCCTGCAGGCTGCTTGAGCGGCAGCCTTTCGAACTTATCGAACTTATTAGCCACATCAGCGGCTCCGACCTATTAATAAACTCCGCGTTCAAATCCAATAAAATTTGTTTTATACATTTGTGGCGCCCATTGGAAAACATACACTGGATATCTCAGAATATTGAAGTCAGCCCCCCCAAAATCAAAATTCTGGCTCCGCCCCTGCTGATGGTGATAATTATCATGGCGGATGATGAATGATGATAACGATGGCGAAGGGGCGCGTCATTACACGGGCTTTATTTATTTAAAGGTTTCACCTCGGCAGGCCAATTCGAATGGAAAGGCGCGCTTTCAAATACGGGGCTGGTCCAAGAGTTACTTGCCGTTACCTCCGCCTCGCGTAGAAACGCCTCGTGTTTTTCACGAACCTCTGCTGTGCGTCTCTGATCGACAGACGTGACGATCAAACTCGCACAACAGCCACGTGGCGCTAAGCAGTGTGGCCGCAGGCAGCGTGGTTGGCACTTGAGCCCTGGTACGGCGAATGAAATGGGGCCACCACCGTGCTCCAATCTTTGACCCCCCCCCCTCTCTCTCGTAGCCCGGCGCTTTCCCCGACCTTCCCCCTGCTCTTTGTAGCCTCGTGCATCGGTCACTCTGGTCAGAGGGTCCTTGTTGCGTTTGCACCGCCTGCACGCTCACCAGCTACGCTACCGGTGTAGGGCCAGACACGCGTTCAGTGCTCGCGATGAGAGAGACACGGTGCTCACGAGCGGTCGCTGTCGGCACGGAGAAACGGCTTTCACGTTGAGCCACAGATCTCGAGTGCCCTGTGAGAGTGGCAGCGCGAGTAACGCTGGGTCCTTCTGCAGCCATTTAAGCTTTCGTTTTTTAAAAAAAATATTAATGTTTGCGAACGGAATTTAAGTCGGGCCAAAAAAACTAACCCCCATGTCGCTTTTTGTTCGTTAAAATAAGGGCCTTATCAAAGCACGGGCATGTGGTGGAGGTCCTGGTAAAACACATTCGGGAGAGGTGCTTTAATTATTTTTTTTGTTTAAACAGGGCTGCACCGTGTGCACGTTGGTGTGCAAAGATTAGTCCATTGCTGAAACTAAACTGCGAGAAAGAGCTCTGGTATGGCTAACTCTTTAAGATGATAAACCAAGCAGCCCAAATGCATCCCATGTGATAAGGGAACCTCTGTATAATTTGATATACTGTATAAGTAACAGATATATCCTAAATCAATCACCGTATATACATTATTTGTAGGCAGTATACTGGTAGTGCGGTGATGAGGGCGATGTGTTATGACCCTATCGCCGGCCGCGCCCAACATCAGTGCTGAATGTGTGAACCGGTCATGGGGACCCCACCCGGGGACCCCCCCAGCCCCCCCCCCCCCAAACTTCACCAACCCGCATTGACCAGCGTGGTGAAGTATGGTCAAACAACCTCTACGACTGATGCGACGTTGGAAACCTTTACCCAGCGACGGATCGATGAAGTGGGCTGTAAATAAAACATGTGTGACGTTGAAAATGTCACCTTGGCTTGCGCGTCTCCCCCTGCATGTCGCGTTCTCTCGGGGTACGTGCGGCGCCCTATTTTCTCTCCGTTCACATTGTGACATTATGAGCGCCGGCGATTAACGGGGGGCGTTTATTTCCGTCCCCGCGCCCGTGACTGCAAACGTCGCGTCGGAGCGGCAGTGCGGGCGCGCGGGAGGCAGGGATGCGTTGTGAACTTTGTTATATATTTCGATTTAAAGCTTTCGTGACTGCAAGGATTCATCTTCTTTGGTTCTTTCGGTAAAGTCACGTAGAATGAGAATAAAATAATACATTGATAAAATAAAATAACACAATATTATGTTATTCTCATTCTACGTGACTTTACCGAAAGAACCAAAGAAAACGTTATATATATATTTTTTTACGCGCGAGCAGAGCGCTAGGTGCCGATGACATACGGTTCTCACCTGGTTGCTCTGCACCAACCCCCCCCCCCCCGTCTCTCCCCCGGCTCCTCTCCTCCTCCTCCACCACCAGCCTTTTGATCGTTGCGCGTGCTCCTCCGCAAGCCGTGCACGGAGACTTTTAATTAAAACGGTCAATCCCGGCCACCGAGGCTCTCGCTGGCCAGTGAGAGCGGTCGCGTAAAGGCGAGCGGCGCCTATAGGGGAGGGGGGAAAAAATGTATTACCACGAAAAATTATTCAACAAAATGCGTCCAGCGCGTGCGGGCCGAGACGCGGGCGCGGGAAATTGGCGCGCGCGGATTTAAGGCCGTAGATTTTGTCGCTGTGTTCTCGTTGAGGATGGCCTTTTGGAAAAATGTAATTCTTCGGTAATTCAAGCCAACCCGCTTTGAAAAAGTAAAAAAATCAAGAATGTCTTCTCCGGTCAGGGGGGGGGGGGAGGGGGCTGACCAAATCGTCCGGAATGTGCCTGGTCCCGTCAGACCTCAGAAAGCTTAAGCAGCGTTTGAGTCTGTGGCAGTGCTTGGAAGATCCGACCACTTCGGCACAGAGACGGACAGGTGGAGTTGGCGTTGCGGGGGCAGTAGAGGGCAGTGTAGCAAAAACTAAATATTGTTCTATACCTCCCCCCACCTTCACCGCCCCCCACTACAATTGACCAGATTGGTGAAGTATGGTAAAATACCTTTTACTGGCAATATGTTGTGGGTCGGGGCTCGCTCAGCAGTGGATTAACGGACAGTAAGCGTGCATAAGGCTGTGTGTTTACCAGACGGACGTGCAGCAGCATATTTAATAATTTATCCTCGAGAAGTGGGGCATGTGGGTGAATCATTGCCAGCGTTGTCCCAGAGGTAACCCCTTCATGTTGGCCAATCACCTGCCCCGTCCATCCTGAAATGTAATTTAATCGCAAAACTTTGACCCTTAGGAGACAAAAGGTTGGTGAAAAAGTTGTTGAGTGAGTTTATGATTAATCCTGACATTATTGTTCCGTGTAAGTATGTACTGTATGTAGGCATGTTGGACTTCTTTCGCACCGTACGTAGCCAACCGTGCTGATGGGAAGTGCGTTTTTTTAATATTTCGTTTTTTTTAATTCAGCCTTAATACCGCCACCCGCTCAGTTCGCCACGCGTCAGAGCGGCCGACCGACCGCCTGCCTGCCTGCCTCCCTCCTCACCGCCCCGCGGTGCCCGCGCTTCCGCTCGCTCGTCTCTCTCGCTCCCGCAGTGTGCGGCTGCGACCTGGCGCAATGCGGCTTCTTCGTGAAGAACGGCGAGTACGTGTGCACGCTGGACTACCAGCGCCTCTACGGCACGCGCTGCCAGGCGTGTGGCGACTTTGTGGAGGGAGAGGTGGTGACGGCACTCGGCAGGACCTACCACCCCCGGTGCTTCGTGTGCTCCGTGTGCAGGTGAGCGCCCTGCAGGCTGGGCGGTGCCCCGGGTCCGTTCGCTACGAACCCGTTCGAAGGAGAGACGTCTTTCGAATGGGAGACGTTCGAAGGACGTCCTCCAGGCAGTAGACCCAGAGGCCGCCCGCGATCGCGCTGGGAAGACCGAGGAGCGACCAGCGGTCCGGGAGCCACGGTTGATGCCGCTAGGTGGAGGACAGGGCAGGTTGGAAGACCTTGGTGGAGTCCGCTGCCCCCCGCGACCCGATTCAGTTTGGAAAAGCGGGCCGATATTGTTTGATAATAAGCACAAAGCTGCACTGACCTAATTCAAGTCTCAATTTGAACTTTCTCTGAAAGCACTCCCAACCCACCCCCCCTCCTCTCCAGAGTATTTCCAACAACACCATTTACTGTTGAATATTGCATGGATTTGCCCCGCTGCACACATCAATGTGGTTGTGTTCAGGAGTCAGCTCCGTCTAAGCATGGCGAGGTGACACACCTAGATTTAAAGCTTTCGTGACTGCAAGGATCCATACTCTGGTTCTATTCGGCAAAGTCACGTAGGTAAAAAATAAAACAACAAAAATCACGACGTTTCGACCACAACACAAGTGGCCTTCATCATGCAAATGTTTTTATAATGTTCATCATGAAGGCCCCTTGTGTTGTGGTCGAAACGTCGTGTTTTTGTTGTTTTATTTTTTACCTACGTGACTTTGCCGAATAGAACCAAAGAGTGAGGTGACACACCACCATACGGACGCTAGCAGAGGATATTAAATCAAGACGAGCGGTGCCAGGCCGCCGAATCGACGCAGTTACTCACCATCGTACTCCCTTCCATTTCTTCTCCCTGCCTAATCACACCGCGCACTCAAACCAGGTCGCATCCAAGGTGTTCCTCTGCATGTCCAAGGCATGCAGAGAATTTATTTTGATTAGCGCAGGCTCCACCTTGCTATACCCCGGTGGGGGGGGGGATTAAGATTCAAGATGATGATGTAATTTATATAGTATATAATGTCTATGTCAGTAAACATCCACCAGCGCCGCCGCATTGGAGTGAGCAATCGACGGTTCTCAAGCTCACGCTCACTTTGCGGGTGTGGGAATTAAGTGAGGACATGCATCACATCTGCATCAGGTTTCAATTCACGTCGGAGAAAACACTGCACGCGGACATTTGCAGGGTCATAGGCAACAGGCAGGAGTTGTGCTGAATACTAAATAACCATTAACGCTTTGCCCTTGGTCCGCAGTAACTGTTGCTACACGTGGAGCGTACAATGGAATTCGCTTCATTATCACGGAGCGCGTGGCTGCCTGCTCGTGTAGCCCTAGGGCACGCCGCCTCTACCCCTGGTGTAGCCTTGGGAAGGGTGGCGACTTCATGGTGCATCTCCAATTCACGCTTGGTCCATAACGTCAGCCTCTTTGCCCTTTCTGGCCACAATGTGATCATCTCAATGCCCACGATTCCCTGCTGTAGAGGAAACCTCCACAAAGGCTGTCGGTGGACATTCCCCTGTCTGTACGGCGTCTTGAGATGCGGTCGCGTGTAGATGCTTTGTGCGTGTATTCGTTCCTGTACAGCCCCTTTTGCCAATGCACCGTTGGATGAAGGGCCTCCTCGCAGCACGTCGGTTAACTTTGACCATACTTCACCGTGCAGGTTGGTGAAGGTCGCTCCAACCCCGCTTAACTTCTAAGATCTGACGAGATTGAGGTGCATTGGTCATGGGTGTGGGTACTTTATAAATCCAAATTGTATTCTGCGGTTAGATATAATAATGCAAATGTTTTTTATAATGTTCGTGAATGTTTACATAATTTCTAATGTCTGCACTTGTATAACCCGCAGTGGGAGTGAGAGAGAGAGAGACTCGGGGATGTGTTTTCTCACTGGGTGACAAAGATCCCCCGTATAGCCTTAACAGACTGTGGGGGCAAGTGCTGCTTGCGGGCACCTATGAAGGCCGGCATGGCACACGCGGGGGTGGGTGACCGACAACCACGCCCAGTCACCTTTGTCTTCCTAGTGGCGATGTTTACACACCGCACCAGGGACTCATTGGCGACTGAGGGGAGGCCCAGGACCGGTTCAGATAATCCTCACTGGTGTTGGCCGTGAGCGGGAATCGAACTCGGGTCGCCCGGGTTCATATCCAGCGCGCGAAACCGCTACGGTGCGCTAACTGCTACACTACTCGGGGATCTGTTCTCTCACAGGGTGAGGATCATGAGATCATCAACAGCAGTGTTCCACCCGTGTTCTACTTCTGTTCCCACGCCCCCTCCCCCCCAGGCAACCGTTCCCGTCAGGGGCCCGTGTCACGTTCAACGGGAGGGAGTGCTTGTGCCATGAGTGTACGCAGCCCATCTCGCCCGTGCTGCGCGACCCCAGCAACCCCAGCAGTGAGTCCTGGTGGCCCAGCCGCCTGAACCTCCGCTTCTCTAACACCTCAGCATTTTGGTTGTCTTAAAGCCAATGCACATATCTCATCATCATCATCATAATCAAATCGTCATCAGCTGTGATCTATCCATTGCTGAATGAAGTCTCTGTCAAGCCATCGCCATCTCTCATGGCCTCGCGATGCAACGGTCCATTTCATTTCTACCCAAGAGCCGAGTTTATGATATCATCTCTGTGGTAGATTTCCTCTCGAGAGTTGGTCCCTTCTTTGGCTGCCATTCCGCTGTTAATCTCGAGTTCCGGCCACCATCCCTACCATCGACGTGTCCTGTCCAACCCAGCTTATTTTTTTCTGAACGCTCAACGTGACGTTTCAAACTTTGTGCGTGTGTGTTCTCTGATCGACATGTTCTCGGTGTATTTTCTATAGCTAAAGATAGTCCCGTGCTCTCCTCCCCACATTTAACGTTGCGGATCAAAGCTAGTCCGGAGTTTGAATGCTGGAACAGATGCAGGCGGACGAATTTTGTCTCGAGCGCCCGTGGGCAAATGGAATTTACGTGGAGTTTTAACCTGGATACGTGAATAGGAGTCTTTCTTTTATTACTTAAATTGCCCCTCGACAACACTTAAATTAATGTTCGCAAAAAAAACTGCGCGAACGTCGGGTCTTCACTCGCAGGTTGTCATCCGCAAATTTATCGTACTAATCACCATGAATACGGATAACATAAAAATGAGATTCAAGAGTACTTAAGAGTGCTTGAGTTTTTATTAGTATTTCTCTCTTTGAGCATGACTTTAATATTAACATTTGACTTAAAATTTCGTAACTGCAGGAATTAGTATTCTTTGTTTTTTTTCTTTGAAGTCACGTAGATAGAAAAAGAATGCTACAAATAAAGTGAATAAAAATTATAAAAATAAAATAAAAAATACAAATAATAAAAAAACACTAATGTATACTAGCCTGATTCTTAATCGGAGTGAGTGTACTGGCAATCTCTAATCTGGACTGTAACCTGGTTATTAAGTTTGGTAAGTGTACTGGCAGTCTATAATGTAGACTGTAGCCTAGTTTTTAAGCTGGTGAGCGTATTGGCAATCTATAATGTAGACTGTAGCAATGGTTATTCAACTGAGTGAGCGTACTGGCAGTCTATAATGCAGACTGTAGCCTGGTTCTTAACCTGAGTGAGCACACTGGCAGTCTATAATGTAGACTTATTCTGGTTCTTTCTGTAATAAAAAATAAAATAAAAATAAGAATAAAAAACCCACGGCATTTCGATCGCAACACAAGCAGTCGTCATCAGGAAAAGGCGGGTTAGCCTCTAAAGGCAAGATGTTTATAAAGGTTTATAGATGGGCGTAGCCTAAGTATATCAGCAGCATGGGCGGGGCAGCTAATGTTAATGTAGGAGAAAACCCCACCACCGGCAGTAGGTCCACACCAATCAAAGGGCCGCCAGGCAATCATTGCACTTAGCTCCACACACCCACACAGCTGACGGTGGAGGTTGACAAGAAAAAAATCAAGTCATGAACCAAAGTGGTTGATGACATCCTTCCAATGATTGCTGAGCTCGTAACCATCCTCTTGGTTGAAATTGTGTCTGTGTCTGTATATTTGGATGGCTTCTTGAACGAATCGTTGTTGATTGTCCGTAGGCTTGCAAAGTACCATCGTCTTAGAGAAATAAATTTCGTGTGAGTCAGTCGCATTAAAATAATGATCAGCCACGGCAGAAGTATTGGTCCTTCGTGTTTCAAATTTGCCTTATGCTCACGAACACGGTTCGAGACATGTCGCTTAGTTTCCCCAATTTAACTGCTGCCGAAGATACAGCTTTGTTTGTAGATGCCGGAAATCTTGTCCTTCAGAAATAGGATCAGATCACAAATTTTATGTACTGTGTTAAATCGGACCTGGATCGTGTGTTTGTTCATGATTTTGGAAATCTTTTTGGTTACCCCTGCTATGTATGGAAAGGTGATGGTTTTGATTGGATCCTCAGATGGCTCCTTCCTCACGGTTGGGGTGATGGCTTTGCAGATTGTGTAGTCAGAGTATCCATTCGCCTTGAGAGCTTGGTGTACGTGGTTGAGTTCACTGGTTAGGTGTTCATGGCCGGAGATACATTGAGCTCTATGGTGTAGCGTTTTGATGAGGGAATTCTTCTGAGATGGATGGGAGTGGGAATCAGGTTTTAGGGAGGCGTCAGTATGGGTTACTTTCCTGTAGACAAAATGGCTCATTGATCCATCAGGTCTCTTTTTGATTAGAACATCCATGAAAGGTAGCATGCCATCCTTTTCTACCTCCATGGTTAATTTGTTGGCTGGGTGTATGGAATTGATGTGGTTGAGGAATTGGTTTAGAGCCGGTCGGCCATGTGGCCAGATGATGAACGTTTCATCCACGTGCCTCTTCCACAAGGATGGGCATAGAGTGGATTCCTGGATGGCGTCCATCTCAATTTTTTTCATGAAAATATTGGCTACAACCGGAGATAAGGGAAGAACAGCTTCGTTACAAAAACGAACAGTATCATCACTGATTCAGCTTCATTAATTGAACAGACCAAACGGTTTTCCTTAAAATCTTCTGCTGCTAGACCACCCAGATTTTATTCTTATTTTATTTTTTATTACTGAAAGAACCAGAATAAGTCTACATTATAGACTGCCAGTGCGCTCACTCAGGTTAAGAACCAGGCTACAGTCTGCATTATAGACTGCCAGTCGGTTCACTCAGTTTAATAACAATTGCTACAGTCTACATTATAGATTGGCAATACGCTCACCAGCTTAAAAACCAGGCTACAGTCCACATTATAGACTGCCAGTACACTCACCAAGGTTAAGAACCAGGCTACAGTCTACATTATAGACTGCCAGTACACTCACCCAGCTAAATAACCATTGCTATAGTCTGCATTATAGACTGCCAGTACACTCACCAAACTTAATAACCAGGCTACAATCTACATTATAGATTGCCAGTACACTCCGATTAAGAACCAGGCTACAGTCGACATTAGTGTTTTATTATTATTTTTATTCACTTTATTTTTTATCATTATTTTTCTATCTACGTGACTTTACCGAAAGAACCAAATACTTTAATATTGTTGGAAAATGCAAATCCACTATGGTGCAGCTTTCATGCTCGTCGCTAGAGGCACCACCTTAAGGCGATTCCAACTGAGGAACGCCATTCTTCATATCATGCTCGGGATGCATGTTATTTATTCCGGCATTAATTATCTGCTCATGACTAATGCTGATTTTGAGCTAATTTTACTCGAGCAATAAAAAAAAATCTCCTGCGCAGTCGAGTAATTGGACGCACTGATATCCGAGGGCTATTGTCCTTATACTGTATATGATCAGCATTTACGTGATGGCTAATTAGGGCACATTTGTTTTTTTTTACTTTGAACACGAGGGCTTGCCCCCCGAACCAATGGAGTGGAAATGCTCAGGTCTCTCAGGTCGACGCACGCCTCGGCCCAGTGTTGCCCCGAATAATGATGGCATGCCCTCCAGTGGCGAAACGGCACGTACGTGTAAAACACAAAAAAGACAAACAAAAAATCCCCCCTGCCCCCCCCCCCCAATATAGCCTACATTTTGACAAATACTGCAAGCGAGCAACTATTAAAGCCAGGGACAGCAGTCGAGTGGGTGGCGCGGCGAGAATGACGCTGGACCACTTTTGTCTCCCCAGTGGCGATGTTGTTTCAGAGCACACCCGGTGCTCACTTAAAGGCTAAGTCAACCTAGGCGTGGCCCAGTACCAGTTGAGATATCGCTCGCCACTGATGATAGCAGTGAGAGGAATAAAACCCTGGTCGCCGAGTTCATAGCACTGTTTTGCTAACCAAAAGACAACGATCTCCCCCGTATAGCCCTAACAGACTGTTGGGGCAAGTGCTGTCAGCGAGCACCTATGAAGGCTGGCACGGCACACTACGGGATGGGTGGCCAGCACTACGCCCGGTCCAGCTCAAGTTCAGATAATTATCACTCGTGTTGGCCGTGAGCAGGAATCGAACTCGGGGTCCTCGGCCTCGTAGCGCAGCACGCGAACTGCTTCACTACCGCTCCCGAATCACGCACGCACGCATTCGCGCGCACGCGCGCACGCTCTAGCACGCACGCACAAACACCCTGCTGAAATGGCGAACAGATATTTCTTGTGCCGTGTTCTTTTGCTTTCACATGCGAGGCATTTCCCAGACACAGAAGTCAGGCGCTGGCACGAGAAAGGGCAGGGAAAGCAGTGTAATGTTTAGCCGCTTGAAACATTCTAAAAGGACGCTCTTGTGCAGCTCATCATGGATGGAGAGCCAAAGTACCCTCCCGGAGACCGCTCAGGCTTTGTTTCGGAAACAAAATTTAGAGTGTCCGTCTCATTTTGCCTCCGGGAAAAGTGACACGGCTCTTTAGAAACGAACGTTACAAAAACAGGTTACAAAAGCCACATTGATGGGGGTCCTGGTTTTCGAATGGGAGGTGGGAGAGGGTCGGATATAGGGTGGGGGGGGGGGGGGTTGCCCATGTTGAGTGGCTCCCGTTGATGTTGACGTGCAATGTTAAGAGCCCTTGTCATCGATAAACACATAGAAACCACTGCTCTTCTCTTCACGGTGATTTTTTTTTTTACACTTCAGCCCATAGCGGCCTCAGTGATGGCACGCAGGTTCAAATAATGCTCTCGTTATTCGCATCGTATCTACAAAGAACAGGTAAAAATAAACACAACATTCAAATAATTGTATCGTTTTTATTTCTTATTCACACCAATTAACCCTTTCCCAATCCGAGATGACTGCAAGTTGCAGGGTGGGGTCCCGTTCACCGCTGAATCTCGGAACGCGCAAGCGGTTCAACGTTCATTTTATTTAGAGAGGCATAGTAGCGCCGTTGTTTTTAAAGACATTGTACTTACCGCAGAGAACTTTGGCGACACGACTGCACTTTATGAAAGCTG